AGCCTAGAGGCAACAAACTGAACTCAAACTCCAATAGACATGTTAGACTGACTCATGTCTGTTTTTAGACTCTTTCCTATTTTTACATTTCTCTGTGCCATACTCATAATTCCATCATATCTTCCACTGCCCTAATTATTTATTTAGCTGTATATACTGGGCTATTAAACCTATTAATGTATTCTAGATACTAAACCCTTATCAGGTATATGGTTTGCAAATATTTTCTCCTGTACTGTAGGTTGTGCTCACTTCAGTAGTATTCTTTGACACACAGAAGTTTAGAATTCTGATAAAGTCCAATTTACCTACTTTTTCTTTCACTGCTTGTGCTTTTGGTATCATATCTGAGAATGTATTGCCAAATCCAAAGTCATGAAAATTTACTCCTGTTTATCTTCTAAGAGTTTTATGTTTTTAGATCTTACATTTAGGACTTCAAACCATTTTGAGTTAATTTTTACATGTAATTTGAGGCAGGAATCCAAATTCATTCTTTTGCATGTGACTATATCCAGCTGTCTCAGCACCATTTGTTGAAGAGACTCTTCTTTCCCCCTTGAGTGGTCTTGGCATCCTTATGGAACAATCAATTGATCAGATATATGGTTTTATTTCTGCACTCCCAATTCTATTTCATTGACCTATATGTTTATCTTTACGCTAGTACCATACTCTTGATTACTGTAGTTTTATAGTAAATTTTGAATATAGTAAGTTTCAATATAAGCAGACTCCCGTTGTATTACGATGGGTTTCTTCTCTTTGACAACACTCTGGATACTTTCTGGACTTGGCCAGTGTCTCAAAAATTATACAATTCACTTGTGTTTTTTTTTTTAGATGTTTTCAAGATGAAAGCTGGTTTCTGGTTATATTCTGCTTCCTTTTGGGGTTCATGGTTTCAATTTACTTTGGTTTGAGAATACCTTTCTTCCTTAACAGATTAACATGCTAAAAAGATGTTTTTACATATTTGGTTCCTTCTTCACAGGAGAGGGTAATCATCTGTACTGATTGAAACTGAAATACCCATCTACTCACTGTCATAGTATTTTGCTTATAGTAGTCAGATAGTACAGAAGATTCCATTCATTAGTCCCTGCTTATCAACCAAGAACACCAGTGGATGCCTGAAACCAGGGATTGTGCCAACCCTATATATACTGTTTTCTCCTATACATATATATGACAGTTTAATTTATAAATTAGGCACAGTGTGATTAACAATAGAATTATAATATACTAACAAGTTATGTGAATGTGGTCTCAACATACCTTATTGTACTGTACTCACTCTTCATGTGCTATGAGACAAAATGCCTACATAAGATGAAGTGAGATGAATGACAGGCATTGAAACATGTTAGGCTACTACTGACTTCTGAAAATGTCAGAGGGATCATCTGCTTCAGACCACAAATGACCATGGGTAATTGAAACTGCAGGTAAGTGAGGGGGGGTGGGGGAACTACTGTATTTTTCCATAGGATACTGCAGGGTTTTTTTTTGTACTTTTGGAGTTAAAAGCAAGGAATACATTTGGCAATGTCTACCAGTGCTTATAGTCATAATTATTTAGCCACCTAACAATGTGCCAAGGTAGTCATCTAGTCACTGAGCAGTAAAGAGCAGAACAGACACAGAGCATACATTCTGGGATGGGGTTGTGGAACAATTAACTACCATTTGCAAGTACTGAATATGCTATGGTGCTCTCTATAATGGCAGTGCTGTGTTAGTATGATATAGATAAACCACTTCGGTAAGTAGGCATTTGAACAGAGATATAACAATTCAGGAAGAGGGAATCTTTCGGCATCTAAGATTAAGGTAATTTCAGACCAAGTGAAGAACAAGCACAAACGTCGTTTGAGAAAGCCTACTGTCTTAGTCTCAGCAGAGGCCTGTGTCACTGAGCTATGGGAGAAGAGATGGTGGGGCAAAAAAGAAAAACAGAGGTGGTGGGAAGAGTTACTACAGCTTGTGAATTGCTCTAGTATTTTGGCTTTTGCTCTGAATCATGGGAAACCGCTAGGTTTTGAGCAGCGATGACATGATCTGACATGATTTAAGAGGCTTATGCTGGGTGTCATGGTTGGGACAGATTATTGCAAAGTAAAAAGCAGGGTGACCACCCAGGAGGCTGTTGCAATAATCCACGTTGAGATAGTTTAGACCACGGTAGCAAGCTATATGTGAATAGGTAGATTATGAATAAAATTTGTAAGTATGACAGGATTGCTGCTTAATTTGGAAGTGGAGTGTGAGAAATCAAGGTTGGTGCTTGTTTTGGACCAGTACAACTCAAGGAATGTTTACATTTACGAGGCCAAGAGGTAGGTTGTTTATGTGTGTAGCAAAACGAGTTTTAGTCATCTTAAACATACCCAGTTAGGTAGGTAGCCAGCTGGATAATGAATAGGAAGCTAGATAGGAGTCCAGGAGAGATGGCTGAAAATTAGGAAATTACAACGGTTAACTGTTCTTAAGCAAGCAACTAGGGCATGAAAGTACTCCATTGTTTGCCCTGGATATAATTCAAATTTGATATGCTGAAGAAGAAATAAACGTTATATAAGGTTCAGAGTATGTAAAAAATGAAAATTATTTTGTAAAAGCATTTTCTGTAAGACAGAAAAAAAATTAGGGGCCTCTTAGAATTTAAAAATTTTATCCAGAAATTTGTACAACTTAGTAAGAGATAACTGACAAGGGAAACTTAACCAAAACATATTCATATGAGAACGTTGTGAGAATTAACCATAAATTCTTCAAAATGAGGCAAGAACAAGTCGTTAGAGGGTAGCAGGAAAGAATGCAAAATGGTAGTTACTGGAGAAACGAACAATTCAGCCAACTTCAGTCTTCCTAGCCCTTCCAGAAAACTTTTTCTTTAAATACAGTTCCATTCTGTAGCAATTTTTTTGTGTGTGGTTGGTGGGGGGGGGAGGGTAGGAGGAGACTATCATGTTTTTAGATTCTGTTCCAAGTATCTTTAGCATTTACTTTTCCATTACAGTGGGAAAGTACAAAGTTTAAGAGCTATCTTAGGGTATGTTATGTTAAATTCAGTGAGCTGCCAACACCTTAAGCACATCTTACCTTCTCACTCAAAATAAGCTTAGTACAAGACCACATTGTAGGAGCAGGGTCAAATCCTTGTTCTGCTACCTAACCAACAAAAACTTGGCACAATTTGTACTTGGCTGCTTTTTAAATATTACTTGGCACTGGTTAACTATATATACCTGAATAAAGTTAAGATTTTCATTATAAATTTGAATGTTAGAGTGTAGACTGTTACTCAATTTGGTTGTTTATGTATTTTGAATGTTTACCAACCTACAGCATTTTTAATTCCAAGTATTACAAATTTTCAGATATTAGATAAAAATGTAATAACTGAGCATACAATCTAACATGTTCTCTTACAGGCAGGCACTAAACACCAAGAGTTGCAAAAGTACAGTAACCAAGTATTAATGCTATTACAAGCGTAAGCTAGCACAATTCATCACCACCTGGCCAGCTTTATAAAACTGCCTTCTAGGTGCCATGCCACAGATGCTCAATAAGCAAGCCTGGAGTGGGGTATGGTAATTCCCCTTTTAAAGTTTTCCAAATTATACTGGTATCAGGACCACACTTTTGAGAACCACCACCCTAAATTCTTTGTAAACCAGTTTTGTTTCTAACAGCTCAAGACAGAACTTACACAATTAGGTTAAAGTGTGGATTTCATCTTAGCTGGAAGTACTGAGTAAGACCAAAGCGCCTTTAAACATAGACTTTAATGGCAACAATTCCTTTAAGCTGTTAACTTTAGCTATTACAAGTGTTATGCAGATGTCACTGTAAGACAATATTTAGTGACTTGCACTGGTTTCCTCATAGACAAATTCACTTAAAAGTGTAATCAACAATCATGTAACAGTTTTGTTATGCCAACACAAAACACGACTGAGTCACCCCAAGATCGCTAACACAACATATCTGAAGCATATTTCAACTAAGCCAATAAAAAAAAAGTGAGTGTTTCACTACCCCTGAGACCACTAGTTATCTGTGGTTCATACTTTAAAAAAACAGTGAGTACACCCACACAAGAAAGCAATAAGCTTTTAAAAGTATCACATTGCAAACTTGCCCAGGAACAAAAATGAGTCACTTAAAATGTAATTTACCATTAACAGGTCAACTGAACTATGATTCTCATAGGTTGAGACTTATATATATATATGTTTATGCATTAAGATACAGGAAATGTATAGAAATAACCAGTTCTCAGATTTAGTATTCATTTCAGTCCCACACATGGCACTAGTAATGTCTGAGGGGGCAAAGGGCAAACTCTTGGACTCTTGAAAGTTTTCATTGATCTCAAGTCGTGTCCATACATTCAAAAATGTTTTTCCCAGGTACTTTACTGTTCTTTTAAACCTGGAGAAGCCTTTATGGCTTATTCCCTTAGAAGTGACATAAGAAATATAGAAAAGCATCAAGTCAGAGAACTGGACATCTACCAATCTTGATCGTCAACAGTTTAAGTCATCATATATAAATACTTAAAGGTCATCTATGGCTAAAAAAGGTCAATATGAAAGCCAGTTAGGGGTCCAGAAGCTAACGAATGTTTTATTCATGTTTGTTTTCAAGATATGATATGCCTACTAAAAACTTAAGAACAGAGAATAACCAATGTGAAAATAGAACCAAAGAACTGTACTCCTTACCTTGTGGAGCTGTTACTAATTTCTTATTTGTAATTTGAATCCAAAATAGTTTCAACAGTATGGCAGCTACCCTTAAGAGTCATTTTTAAAGTGAAAGATAAAATTAAGAAAATTCACTCATCGGAAAATTGTATTGCTTGGTATTTCTCAATGAAATGCTTATTACAAAATGAACAAAGCCAGAAAGAACATACATCTTCAGAAGGCATGCGTTTCACTTTGTTTAGAGAACCTGAAGTCAATAAACCATGTCCAAACTACGTATTAAAATGTTTATAAAAATCAAGCTTTAACATTTATTTTATAACTAGCTTTCCACATCTGTGTGCAGACAAGGAGTAAGATTGCACATAAGTGTTAGCAGTGCAAAATGTGGATGTGGAGAAGTCACAGATGTCCTAGAAATCAAATACAGGACTGCAAGAAAGTAATGGGCAAATCAAACTAGAAAGAAAAACTATAGGATTAAAATTAGTGAAGAATGATAATGCCCTTGTTACTACAGAAGTCAGTGGCACAGATAGCACTTGTCAAACAAAAATAATCCAATAGCATTGACTTTTATTCATTCATGTTGTCACCTGAAATGATATGTTGCATTTAAATGCTCATTAATGTAAATGGCTGAACAAATCCATTTCAATGGATACCCAATATCCCACAGTTAAGTCACTTCAACACAGCCTTATGACAACTCCCACACCAAAACAGTACTTTATTTTGTAAATTTGACCATTACTCCCATGTTATGGTTTTTCCAGCTGTCAAGTGTACAAGGCAAAGAAAAAATTTAGTTAGATGGGGGTTGCACCTGGAAAATAAATTTCTTAAACTCCGTATTACATGTTTCAAAACTGCTGGGTCCCAAGTCCACCTATGAACTCCAGGGCTGCCAGTATCATGTGCAGCATACTAAAGCTACACTATTTGAATAGCTTATTAATTCTGCATAAATCAGGTCAATCAATGTGTCAACCTGTAACAGACTGTGCACTTTTAACTGAACATGGCAAAATATTCACTCTTTTGAACTTTACATCATCATTTGATGCCAAACAATGAAGCAAATCCCAACAGTATATACAAAAACAGCTTTGCATTTACAAAAGATTGTTTCCCATACTGATTAATTCAGGCAGCTAACTCATTGGTTTATGCAACTTTATTGAAGAAAAATAAATCAATTACTAGCAGAGCTATTAGTTGATCACTCATCCATTGACAACTTGCATCATTTATTCAGTGCTATATTAAACAGTGTATTGGAAGATAGATTAACTAATAGCTCCAAGCCTCCTAACAATTTAAATGAAAATTACAAAATGTTTTGAGACTCTATTTTGGAATACAAAGGGTGTTTGACTTCCAATTTCCATTCTCTGTAGAACAAGAACAGGTCATTCCTTTATTGACATGCATAAGATACATCACATTTTCTGTTCTGCTGATGCTATGAATTCAATACCAATTCTCCAGCCACATCAGTTATGAGCATATAGTATATCACGTAACCTCAAATCTCTAACAGTGGAAGGCTTAAACAAGAATGGATGCTAGAATAATGCTGCTTCCTTTGATGTGACAACTGAGCATCCATCTCCCTCCCCCTCAGGTGAGTTCTTCAGCATGTTAGAGCAGTGAGGAATGGATTTAGTCTCATAACCAAGTTAGAGTGAAGACATTGGCCACATAATACACATGCTCCATTTTTTTAAAAAATTCTGAATCTTGGGCAACTGTTCTCTTGTAACTACTTTACAGTTTCTAAAAGCAGTTATTGTCCAAAGCTGGAAGAACTTAGTAAGTCTTCTCAGATGAGCATGTGAATGAATGGAGGGAGGTAAACAAAAAATAAAATTAAAAAAGATGAGGTCTGATAGGGGAGCAGCCGGATAAGAAAATCAAAAAAGGAACAGTAATTTAAAGTTTATTCCAGCTATAATGCAGGTTATTCTGACTTTAAGGTAGCATCACATGGCATACTTCTGAGTCCATTCCCGAGATATTCTGTTGTACCTGTAAATAAAGAAGATGTTATTTTAAAAGTTTAAGAATTTTTAATACTTAAAGGAAGATTTCTATTTTACCTGCAGACTCATCATGGAGTCATCTCTAATGGCTATGATTAGAATAAAGCCAATAGGGGAAAACAGCATTGATTCAAAGCAATGTGGGCAAGTGGAACCTTATACTTTCAATGCCATGTTCCATGTACACTGAAAGATGTTTTAATAAATGTAATAAAGAGGCATTGAGATTGTAGAGGCTAATAAAATCAAAGACCTTTCTCTCCCCTATCATTGAGTTAATTTCTATGAGAAATTCTACAGTTAGTAGCCATTTCAACAAATTTTAACATTTAAAAAATGGTTTTACAGTTCCTCATGAACTATGTCAGAACAGCACATACATTCTATACACCTATAAGCAATTTTCATTAAGGCTGGAACCAAACAATTAACTAGACATTTACCTGAACCCTAGACTTCGATAAGTTACTTGACTCTGGGTAACACCAGAAAATATCTTTAAGACTTAGGCACTGGTAGAAGATTAAGACATAGAGGGGTGTGGGGGTGGTAAAAGATCAGTTTTCAAGAGGGGGTGGATATGAATGGTGTTAATTAGAACCACTTGTGTTACTTCAAAAATGTGTGTAACAGGAGTTTATGTACAAGCCCCACTTCAGACATGATGAAAGGCAATCTCCAGTACAACTTGGAGCATCTTTAAGATCAACAAGTAATTCACACATAAGCAAGGTTCCTTATTACTGAGAAAGATCACCAATAATGATCAGTGCTATTGCTTTCTCCCTGTAATACACAATGCCATAGGTTACTTACCAACAAAAAAATAGTGATGACCTTTTAGATTATTTAGCTTGAACTTTATAATATACTAACTAGCTTCATTTCAGATGAACTAAGCATGGTTCAACCACTTTTCTAAATTTTCACAGAAATTCTTTCTACCAATTCATGGTCACCTCATTTAAGGATACCTTCTCAAAATGTGAGCACTTTATTTTTTTATTTAAGTATCATTGATATACAATCTCATGATGGCTTCACAGAAACAACACAGTGGTTTCAACACTTACCCGTGTTATCAAGTCCTCATCCCCTCTATTGTGGTCACTGTCCCTCAGTGAAAGATGTTATAGAATCATTACTTGTCTTCTCTGTACTGTACTCCCCTCCCGTGACCTACCTATATTGTGAGTGTTAATTATAGTGCCCCTTAATCCCCTTCTCCCTCCCTCCCCAACCCCACCCCTTTGGTAACTATTAGTCCTTTGTCAGTGTCTGAGAGTCTGCTATTTTGTGCCTTCAGTTTTGAAAAAGCCAGCACTTTAAAACAAAAGGTTTCAATTAGCATACTGGGAGCCACAAAATATCGCTGACACCAATGCATGCTTGTCAGTAATGAACATTTAGTTTAGATGCTGAGGCTTAACTAGATGTGTTCTTCCCTTACATTATTGTCTCTTAGCAAAATTTGAACTAAATCATCACATTCCATACAGTATCGGTATGAAGTTTAAAATGTAGCAGATTTACAATTTAAACATGGTGGTTTGAAAGATACTACTTAAGTTTCTATCTCTTACTAGCACTATATTAACTGCTTTGCCATGCAAAAATACTTTCAAGCAATGATGACTACTAGGAATACTTTCACACTAAACAGAGATTAAGCAGTTAAATGTACAGTTTTCAGAAAACTACCAGATCTGTTACCTTTTGTTAGTTAATACAATGCTTTAAAGCATGCAGCACTCAAGTGCTGGCAATACCATGAATAAGCGCACCATAGAGTGAGATCCTCTTACCCTACAACATAGCGTATTTCTCTGTCCACTCTCTTGCTAACCTATTGTACCTAATTGAACAAGTATACTTGGCATTAATTACAACATACAAAGTTATAATGAAGTCGTAAAGATAATACAAATACGAGAAATTTAGACCAACTTTAAATACTAATATATTTTTATTTAAAGACATTAATTGAGGTGGAAAGTCCCCCCAAAATTAAAGTGACAAAGCACTGAACATGATAGAAAAATATTTTAGAAGGGCTGTTCACCGTCACATAAACTAAAACCTAGTAATTTTAAAAACAATCACATATGAATAATGAGCTTTCTGTACATTTCAGATTATCTTACCAGAAATAAGCATCAAGTTATCTTGGCACTGCCACAACTTAAAGCAGAGAATAGGCCTACTTCATTAAGAAGAGTCACTCTATATTACTTCCTTCAACTACTACATACTTACTTATCTCTGTCTGTCTTATAGATCCGTGCAATCTCTGGCACTAGGGGGTCATCTGGGTTTGGATCACATAGCAGTGAACAAATGGATAAAAGAACTGCAAGAAAACAAATATTACTCAGCACTGGGAATTTGGATAAATAAAAGTATATTTAAAAACATGTACTATAAACTGCAATCATCAAAAGATTTTTATCAGTTTATATCTTTATCTGAATGAGACAAAGCTTTACAGAGCTTCTACTTCACAGGAGACAAGCTCCCTGTAAATAGGGAATGCTAAAAACAGAGCTTTGTTGACATCAAGTTTAACAGTGACTAGTTATAAGAATATTGCCAAATTCAGAATTTCAGAGATAGTCCAATGATGCCACACTAGTTTATTATTATTTTCAAGAAGTGGCATCAAAATTTAAGTAACTTAAGTTTCTTGGTATTCTGAGCAGGTAAAAACAAAATATTTTCACATTTGGGGAATATCCACGCACTACTACTGTTAGTTAGGCATGGTGTAGAAACCATTCTCTGACCTGCCTTCAGGGTTTCAAAAAACTTCTAGCTGCTCCACTGAACATATATGTTCTATCTCCTTGAATTTATAAGGCAGAGGTCATATCACTAAGATCTATTTCTAAGTAAGCCATCTACTCTAGCTTTCATCCTGACCTGTTCAACATATCAACTTAGAAGATGCCAACTATCATAGAGTAGCATACATCTAATTCATCTTGAATGCCTGTTATATGCCAGAGAGTGTGCAAGGGAAGTGTTATAAAATTCTAAGATAGAAAAGCTTAAAATGGTTATGACCGTCTTCAGATGAAGACAAAGCTATACCATAAAAAAGACATGAATGTAATATATTATTATGGAAAATAAAATTTTGGACCCAAGCACAGTGTGGCAGACCTTAAACCCAATTTCACATTTACAGAAACACAGCGTTTGGTATTACAGGGCATTCCCAGCAATGGTAAAAAACTTGGAACCTAGTTATTAAGTTATCTTGTATGTATCTGGTGTTAAGGCAGCCTGATTTGAAAGAAAACTGGAATATATCCAAGAGGGTGAAAAATAATTCTAAAATTATGTCACACTCGAAAGAATTATCACAGTATTCACCTAAATTGGTTTTCTTTCTCACCCCAAAAAGTGAGTTCTAGGTCAAGTATGGGAAATGCTACACCAACCCTTTAGGAGACTCAAATGCACTGTTCAAGCATATGGAAGATTTTATGATGGCCTGTCTGAAAAAACAAACAACAACAAAAAAAAACCCCAACCTGTTTTTACTTTGCATTTACCATACTCATAAAAAAAACCAAAAATGTTTTTTGGTAAAATACTACTAACTATCCCAAGAAATAATTTGAGGAATGCTGCATTAATTATTCAGCCAGAAAATGAGAATGCTAGAATCAGCTCTTTCCTCAAATATCTGAAACAACGTCACAACTAACATTAAAAACCTATTTAGTGTACTTAAGGAAAGCTAAACCACTATCAGATAACACTAAAAGTTATTGGAAGGCAGACTTCTTTCCTATTAAGTAGATTTGTGGTAGGCAATTTTATTTTTAAGTAGAAGTGACATAAAAATCACCAGTCATTCAAAAAGGAGAAAAGATGGGAGACACTCCGTCTCCATCTGGGATATTCATGTGGAGATTGGACAACCTAATACATATGTCACATAATGGATCCCTATTAAAAGTAGAAGTCCATAACTGATCAGGAAACATTTCCAAGCCTCTATTTCAGACTATTAGATAGGAACAACTTACACACTATGTTCACATATCACCTAACTAAAAGCTTTTAAAAAGGCTTTTTATCTAAAAATAACATAGGAAAGCAAAGACCAGAATTTTCCTACAATGAAAACCTCAAGATTTAAAAGGTATATTTAGGTATATATACCATGTTCATTAAAAGGCAAAGAGTGAGTGAGATGTATGTGAGAGTGGCTTGGGATTGAGAAATACCACAGAAATTTATTAAAATCAACTCTGCTATTACTATCTGCATACAATGCTCCTAACACTCTAATTTGAATTTTAACTTCTTCCTACAAAAATTTCTTTCATCAGTGCTAAGAGCAAAAATGATATAACCTCTTATTCCTTCCCCACCTCTTACCAAAATATTGTAATAAAGACCCAGTTAAGTAGGCCCCCAAATGAAACTACTTTATTAGAAAATTGAAGCAGCTAAAGACTACTTCTCTGATAGTATTTTACCTTTAGAAATAGTTAAAGCAGGAGACCACTGTGATCTTAGAATATCGAGACAAATGCTGCCATTACTGTTAATATTTGGATGATAAATTCTTGTTGTAAATGCAACCTAAAATAAATAAAAAACCTTTAGGTATTTTTCCCGCCAAATAAAAACAAACATCCTAAACTTAAGTAGATGACTTAATATCAAGGCTTAAAATACTGTCACAATCCTTAAAAATCAAATGGCCAAAACCTAATACACACACATAAAAGGGCTAAAAATTACAGAAACTGGCTTTTATATCCTGACCAAGATCCCCCGGGGACTCCCTTTTAAAAATTAAGATGGAAAATACAATTTGGGAGCATAATTTTATTATTAATGATAAGGTGGGATGCTCTGAAGGTTAACTTTGGCTCTACCATGTTGTGAGTGTCAAACAGCAATTTGATGGGTATGTAACATTCATTAAAAACAAGGAACACCTGAACGTAACCCAGTTTTTGAATCAGCTTATTTAAAGGTTATCAAGTTGCAAAGGTATGTATTTGAGTCTTCATTCCCACTGTACATAAATTTGAGTATCACAAAAGTTTCAGGTAAACTGTTCTGTTGTACCTTTAACAAAACTGCAAAGAGGGCTACAGTCAACTGGCAATGTTCTACGTATGTTGAATTTTTGTTGCTATTAGAAGTCTAGGAGTACATGCTTTTCACATCGAAAAGTAGGATCAATGCATAAACTAAGTTTTATAGATTTATTCAGTTATGTATGCAAACTCAACCCCCAAAATCATTAGTCTGTCTATACCCAAACACAAATTAAGTTGCAGCACTATTTGCAACTTACTGAACATCAACATTTTGAAGCTTACTATTATAAGACACTATAATAATCCGTATCTGTGTAAGTACAGGAAAGGGAAAAAAGTCTCCACATAGTATACTGGAGCCTTATAACATTTAGGATAAGGCAATTAATTCTTATTTCCATTTACAAAGTTCAAACCCAGGTCTAGCTCTTCTTTTAACTAATTGCTGAGTCAGCATTTACTAACCAGCCACTCCATTATACAGTTGGCCTAAATTATTCTTACTCACTAATACACACACACACACACACACACACACACACACACAAAACTTAGCCTTAATTACGTAGAACCCTAATTTCTAAGACACTCTATTCTTCTGAAATAAAGCATAAATCTATACTAACATTTTGGGAGAAAATACTTGCCTTAGGTGGTTTGAAGGGGTAGTCTGTAGGAAAATGAATTGTCAAAAAGAATACACCGCCTTGATATGGGCTGTCATTCTGTGAAAAGAAAAATATGATTAACTCCAATATTTAAAATATTATTGCTAAACTTAACCCATATAACATTTCTATTGTTGAAGCACTTCTCTTTTTATCAACTAAAATTACCTATCTTCTATACTGCAATGTCAATTATTACACAACTCAGTTTGTATTAATGAAAAAAAATCAAAATTTACTACTATAGAACAATGAACCCTAATTTACTTAGATCCCATTTTACATAAGTCACCAAAGAATTTTAATAATTATCTAGAAGCACAAGTGTTCTAGATTGATTCTCAAAAAGTACACTTAACAACAAATTCTATAAACAGTATTATGTATTGAACTATAATTTGAAAGTAAGTATCTTACACATTTGTAGAATATTTCTTCTAATAAAACCATGTATACAACACAAATGACTCTGTACCTCAACAAGGCTTTCTGGCCACTGGCAAACCAAAATGTTAGCTACTGGAGGTAACATACCACCACCTTCATTAAGAGAAATGGAACAGCAACAAAACAGTTTTAAAACAAGTAACATTTGGGAAAAATTACTTCCTAAGATTTTAGCATTTAACTTCACCAATACCAGACAAATAGTATCACTGCTCCCATTTTATAGATGAATAAAATGGGTCTTAAAAGTAGTAACTCAAGTATACACATGGTATATAACAGAACCAAGATTGAAACCTATTTCTCACGAAGACCTCTGATCAATGAATGCATCAAGGACTGATGATCAAAGAGTGATTTATAAGGTAAAGAAAATGTGAAATTTCTTAACTGCTTCTGGGTATGCAACCTGAAGATGTGTTTTGAACATTTACAGTAACTGAATCATTACCAACATCCATTCCTGTGCATTAGAGAGTATATATAAAGTGCTTATAGGAGCCTTTCACTATGCCCATTCTGGATGTCAGGCAAATAAAAACCTTTATAATTTGTAGGACTGACATTTTAATATAGCTTTTAACCCCCAGCCCTCTGTAAAATAACTGAGCACTAGTTGAATTAATCTGACTCCTTTCTACATATTCGAAATATATAAGTAAGGGCCAGAGAGAACAATTTATTATTTTGATGGGCTTACAGTCCTATAAAGAAACATGTAATGAAATATTACAGATACTACGAAAAATCAACAGGGTTGTGAGGGTTAAAAAGTAAAAGGATGATTTTACCGATCAAGTTCAAAGAAACCTATACGTAGGTAAATGGAAGAGCTACAATTTAAATTAAGTCCTTCCTATTCCAAAGATCCTCTTTTCCATATTTTCTGCAAAATTTTAATTAAAAAACACTGAGACTGGTAAGTAGCATCTGAGAAGTATGGAAAAAATAAAGCAAGCACCTGAAAAGTGATCTGAATTTATTAAGTTAACTAATGATCTTTGCTAACATTACATTAGCAGGGATCAGACGCATCAAACAGCATTTAATTTTATGATATAGGCTAGTACTAAAAATGTGTTTATATTGCATACAATTAGCCAATTTAAGGGTAAGCCTAAATAGTTCAAGTTTTTATAAAACCTAATTATAAAGGTTCTGTTTAAGCTTTCATCCCAAGTTTCATGTAATCAATTGCTGTTAGATCTGACTGCTTCTGAATAAAGGCAATCTAACGATGGTATTTAGACAAAACCAAATTTTGTTTCACTTGTTCAAAAAAAAAAGGACTTATGGGATGAGAATATTTCAATGTTACAACTGAACACTAAAATTCCAGCAAATCAAAGAAAAACTGGTAAAACCACAAAATGCAGAAATAGGCATCAGTAGGTCCAGAGATAGTCAAACTATGCCATCTAAGAAATTTGAGGCTTTTTATCAAAATTTACTATAAATTGCTAGCAAACAGAAAAACAAAAAGGAACACTTTGACCAATATCAAATTAAAATTGACCCAAATCTTAAAAAAAAAGAACTTGTTAAATCTATTCCTTAAAAACCTACCCCAGTGTTGCTTTATCAAAGTCACTCCCTTCTCAGTGTCTGTACTCCTTATGACAAAACCAGTAATGTCGGTATTCCTACCAGGCTATCTTCAGCTTCTATCTCCTAACCCGTATACTTATTTTGGTAACTCTTGAGTCTTTCCCTACTGTAGTTATTCATTCCAGGAAATATATTCAAGTATCTATGAGTACTTCTACTTGGGTATCTCATGTGTCAGAAAGTCAAACCACAATAATAAAGCCCCAAATCAGGATTCACCTTTTCTCTTAGTAGTTACAAATCTTAAAGATCCTTAAAATCTCTTAACTAGCCTCCTCTTCATGACCCACTGCCACTACCACCTTAGTTAAGATCTTACTTTGTCTATACTATGGCAATGGCTCATTTCTGCCTTCACCTTGGCCTTTTTCCATTTATTCCTCACTAATGCTGAACTTGTCCTTTAAAGATAGAAGTTACTCCCCTGCTTGAAATCTAGCATAGCTTTCAAGATACAGTTCAAACTCCTAAGCACACAAGGAGCTTTATAATATGGTTCCCATCAATCTATTTTGTGTCATCTTCCACCTCTTCTCCAGAATAATTGTACATAAAATAGGTATGTTTCACACCTCCTTTTTCTCTGTATTATATAGACTGTAGCATCTATCTTAAGCTTAAATGCCCTTAAAGATACATAATACAGCCTTTCCTTTAGTCCAGTCTGCTGGCAGCCCTTCTTTTATACCTCTTCCTGTACAGTTACTATTACCTAACATAACTTATTCACATATAATTTTCCCTTTTCACTAGACTACCAAGCACCTTAAAAAAATAAGGCACTGAAGGAAGAGTTTTCATGTATCATAAGCCCCTCTGCAGGAAATGACATAATACATTTAACTTGAAAAAACAACCACTACGGTCCAATAAAACAATTAACTAGAGGCCAATTATTGTACTTCAGATGGTTTTTATAGCAAATTCTGCTCAGGCTGCCAAAGGTTCCATTATTCACAAGCATGATACTTTCTTCTATGGCTCTCTCTATCACAGATTATGTGGAAGTCAGTGTGGTTCTTCAAATAATTTTACAAAATAACTCTTTCTGCCAGTGCCATAAAGAAAAATCAAGTATTTAAGTCTCAGAATAGGTAAGTTAATATCTCTGTACTGCATCAATTCTTAATGGGAATTGTCCTTAAATTAACAAAGTATAAAAAAACCTATGTTTAAATTAACTAGCAATGCTCTGTCAATTCTTTCAAAGGTTTGGTTTTTTAACAGTATTTGTGTGCCCAAACTATTGTACCTTCAGAAATAAGCCAGCACATATGGTTATTACAACCAAGCACTTTTGCCTCCTAACTTTAATGACCAAGAGCATTTCTTGACTGAAACCCACTAAAATTCAATAGTTACTTCTCTGTATTGAACTTTAAATTTGATGTTTCATTCCTTAGCAAGTCAGGAATTTTTAGTTCTGTGGCACTACTCTCACTTTAACTGTGACCCGCAGAGTACTCCAAAGCTAAAGTAATGTGCGTTATTATTTTTGTTCTCCCAGCAAAGGTGCAATTTATGGGTTGTTATGCTACCACTGGCCCTATTTGTCTTAGGTCACACCTGCATGCCACATATGAAAAAAATAGTATTTCTCTCATCAAACCGTTTTTTTTTCCACAAAGATGCAATCAAAAGCAAAAATAACTCAAGTTATTTCATTGATGACCCCACTATCTAAAGTTAGGCGCTAACTTACAAAGAACACAGTAAAACCTGTATTTTGGGTGGATTTTTATAATATCTGATGCCTTCCTGAGATTCTCCAATAGTGAAAATTAACCCTTAGAAGATAAGTCTGTTTCAGGAAATGCTACCAAAGCAAAATTGCTTGTTGTATAAATGTTTTTGTTTTTGTTAATAAGGGAATAGCTGGAAAAAAAAAATCTTTTGAAGAAATAGCCATAGTCTGAATTACATATAAAATAAATGAAATGTTCCCTGAAAATGAAAGCAAATTAAACAGCTAAAGAACAGCAGAATATGCAATTTTGTATTTACTATTCTCTGGAAAATTATTAGCATAAACATTCATTAATGCTACACTTTGATTTATTACAGGTATATTCCTTACCTTTTGGAAAGAACAGTTAAAAGGTGCAATCTCAAAAGTCAAGGAGAACATCACACTGGTTTTAAAGAGTTGGTTTATTATGCACCATCCAATTAAGAAGTCTAGATTACTAACTATTACTACCGACAGCTAATATTTTGAGACATCTAAAGCACCCTGTGGATCAAAGATGAGCTGAAAATCCCAGATTTTAAAGATCCCTAAAGATTGATAGGGTTTGTGTTGGTTGAGACAGAAAAAGAGGTTCAAGTCATCAAAATCAGAACTACTGAACAAACACTTGTTGATCCAACCTATCTGCTGGCTAGCTTTTCCAAGCGCATTTATTGTTTTAGAATTATAAACATCTACTTATTGACTATCATCTCACTTAGTAAATTATTGCCATTTGTTTAAATTAAATCACCAAAAAAGGGGAAAAAACAGAAAATTCAGTAGGACACACATACAATGTAGAATACAAATCCTCAAGTGCCTTCCAAATAAGAAACAATGTTAATTACTGTGCAAGATACAGTCTTATCCCAGGATGTTTTACTGTATTCTAATTCTGTGAAATTCTTATTAGAGAGTATCCCTAACTGATTATCTAATTATCCAGCATAGTCTCTTATCTACCCAGGTATAGAAAGGAATTTTGCTGTATTCAAAATACCACTTTCTATCTAAATATTCTTAAATTTTTCATAAAACTAAAGTTTATAAAATATCAACTATCAAAATAATACAATTAAAGCTAATTTTTGACAGCTATAGGAATAGTTAGATCTTTTGAGTAACACTACGAGAGTCAGTTAAGGAGACTCTTGACAATGCTTTCTTTACACACAGCTAAGAAAAAAACTAGACCTGAAGAAGTATTTGGAGGTCAGAGATGCTTTAACTCTAAAACCTGAAGAGATAGACACAGTATACATAACAAAGGACTAGTTTATTATTCTTTCTTTCAAATGCAGTATGAACTATAGCACACCCAAAATAGAATTACTATGTGATAAAATAAACCTAAAGAGCAAGTTAAATATTGTATCTAGATCGATGCTGAATTTTCAATTAAAAGCAAAGTCTTATTTAACTCTTAATACTTACAGGTCCCATAATTGTGGCTTGCCAATGAAACACTAGAAAAAGAAAAACTCTTGTTATTATCTAAAAATATATAAACTTTTTTGGAATTAGCCATAAAGTCAACTTGAGTGTTACTTACTATCATCCCCAACTGGACCTGCAGAACATTGTGCTGGAGGGTCACGGGCCAAATCACTAAGTTCCTACATCAAGACAGAAAATGGTATGTCATGCAACTGTAACAGAAAACATAAGTAAGCAAAGAGTCAACTACTTCCAGTTATTTTCACCCTTTCTTTAAAGGATATATCCATCACAATTTACACTAATACGTTCTATTAAAAGAGAGAAAGCAGGAATCTAGTTCCTAGGACACTGTTATTTAATGGACACACTGAGATAATCATCTTGGCTAGGGATCACAAAAGTATATACATATTGACATGAAATTTTTATTAAGTGAACAAAAGCTGTCCTCTTATCAAATACTTTCTGCAAGAACAAAGCAGTTCTCAACATTGTCATTTGCTGCACTTTCAGACCATCTTGGAGGCCCTCATTTCTACTGTATTAAGCCCTCTGTTATTTCTGTATTAAGCCTTTATTTTCTACTTCAAAGATCTCTTAGGGGACTACGTAGGTACCCCCTTTTAATCTCCTTTCCTCAATTTAACCTTGTCTTTTTACTCTATGTTGTATAAAACTACGTCTCTGTAAGAACCTACCTGACCAGGTAGAAAGTTTGCTCTTAGCAAAACATGCAGTTCCCACAATTCCATCTGACTTTGGTATTTACAACAAATACGTACTTAGCCCTTCAATGACTTGTGCGTTAACAAATAATGGATAATGTAGTAAGAAAATGAAGTTATTTCTTTACTAAGTTTTCTTTTTTAAAGATGATATGCCTGTTTATATATAAATCTCTAGAGAGATTTACAGACCCATGAGATGATAATGGGTTTCTAAGAAAAAGGCAGGGAATATGCAACGTTGCAGGAAGGTAACTACAGCAAATACTTGCCTCTATTGTATTGTCGAAATGTACTTCAGAAATGGTCAACTGTTTAGGAATTATCATTCAAAATTCACACCATCCAAAAAAACCAATGCAGAATTTGTCTTTGTATTAATCATTTACATATCTATCAATATGAAACATATATCTATCTCATTATGTTGTACCTCTCAAACTAGTATGTTGTGTGTCAATTGTATCTTATTAAAACTGGGAGAAAGAAATAAAGAATTGTACTGACACACTGCCAACTTGCTTCTGAAGCTCATATACCACAACTGCTTTAGGACAGCCAGAGCTCTCATGGTTCAAAATTTTATCACGATGGAAGATGAGATCAGGCCTTTATGCTTGCCTATGTAAATACAGCATTATGTTCAACATAAATAAGAACAAGAGGCAATTCACTCCACTCTTAATTCTGACCAGAAATTATAGGAAGTCTTATCTCAGAGTTAAACAACTGGTTAAAAGAAACCTAAAATGGTTTTAGCTTAAAAAAAAAAAAAAAATCAAATGGTTCTGAAATAAATATTTGAAAACTACTTTGCTTCTCATTAAAAAAGAAATGTACTGGCAACTTGAATTAATCAAGCATCTGAGAAAACAACTTCTTCATAGGCCAGGTTAAGTCTCATATAGCAATTATTTGCACCCTATGATCAGCCAGTTTTAATGGCAATCTATTTTAATACCATCTCAAGGTCTACAGATATTGCTGTAGGTTAAGAATCGAGCATAGTATAGCTGATATGAACAGGGAATTTTTCCATGTTCCAGAATTTATGTAACAAGTTCTGTTGTTTAACTGGCCCACCAAAAAAATATAAACCAGAAGCTAGCTTATGAGTCTAATTCCCTTTTTTCTTAATGAACATAAGGGTCAAAAAAAGGGGGTCTATTTTAAGGTTAAAAACTTACCTGTTCCAAACCATCCTCCTACCTCTTTCCCATAGAACAGATGATCTGAATTTTCAAAAATGCTATTAATAACCAAATACAAACTTACTTACAAATGCAATTCAGTCTCACTTTTAATCCATCTTAGATCCACTATTTCCTAGGCTTATTTACTCATTCTAAAATAGAAATGTCTGTTTTTACAGGGAAGAATAAAAGCACTGTGGCATCTACATAATGTACTAGGTACTCCAGCAAGCAGACCACTTGTAGACCACCCATCCTGAAAGCAAGATTTCCTGGGTAGGCACTAAAATCATTTGCTTATTAAAAGCAAAACTGCTTCATAAATAGGCTACATACTATAGCATTAGCTTTTGTAAATCTTTTGCCTATGTGATTAATCTTTACACTTGTTTGTAACATGGTCATCTAGCAGTTACATGGCCATGATGTTATACATTAAAAACCCAAGGTCAGCAATTCAAAGAATATCTGTGTATTGAAGTTTTAACAATCATGTTAGGTTGAGTTATATGAAATTACTAGTATTTCACCATTAACTACAGAAACTGTTACTTCATGTGGTTCTACCTAAAAATATCTGGTAAGCATTTGATTTCAAGTATTACCAGAATGAATTTCTTACATCTACCCCAAATCATGTATATAATAAACCCATTTGTTAAAATGCCTCAAGAAAAATACCTAGCAATTATTTTTAAATAAAAAGCAACTTACTGATGGTTGGGCTAGCAAAATATCAATAATAATGTTAAAGCAAAACACTGATAATTGTACTTGAAAATAACACTTTTTAATTATGAAGAATGTAGTATTTCTTAAACAAGTTTTCTTTCCACACTGGTATTTATGAATCACTAAGCCTTTATATGCTGGTATTATCACTTGTTTAGGGTGAAGGTGTTAATTTCAGCTAGTTAGCACTGAATTTCAGCTTTTTACTCCCATAATTTTATGCTATTACTCTAAGACAATTTCTAAATGCCTCATTTTCCAAGTTCTCCATGACCAAGATACCTCTGAAATAATAAAGATCTAATATTAGGCTAATTAACTTGTGGTAAAATCTACTTTAATTCAATGTTGAAAAATGACCTAAGTAGTTATTTTAAGGATTAAAACAGCTTTTCAAGTCAGCACTTACCTCTAAGGTTAAAAATCTCATGACATTATTATGCCCATAGCATAAGCAAATGAGAAACGTAAGTATATCTTAGCAAGGGAAAAAAAAAGAGAAAGCACAGTAAAAAGTCTTCATCTAGATGCTTTTCTGTGTAGCAGATATTTTGTCTACTCTATCAACCATCTTACCCTACATTCATGAAATGCTTTTCCTTTACTCCCAACATGGGGTTGTAGTGTTTGGTTAATTGATGGCTGACAATCACCCATTACACAGACAGGGCTAATCACAGAATTTTGTTCCTTCATCCTGTTATTAGGAAAGTACTGTACAGTAACCTAAACCAGGACCTGACCTTAATTAGGATCTGTCCAGTCATCCCTATCCAAGATTTTGTGAACTGAAGCTGAAAGGGACACTTCTTCCTTCTCTAATCAGGAGCTTTAAGGATGTGACCAGAGCTGCTGACAAGTATGTGCTCTAAAATTATAACCCAAAGAGACGATACTGGACAACAGTCGGTAAGGAGCTGGCTTGGCACACAGATTTACAACTCCAGTCCCTGAAATGCTGCAGCTGTAACTGAAGCTCTTGCATGCTCCCCATATTCCTTTCCCTTCCCCCACAAGGTAAAAGAGTATCCCAACATTTGGTTTCTGCTATTTATACTTTCTTGTAGTTTGGTCTGGTTATCTACAGCTATTCTCTGATTGTCAACTACTCCAGGTTCCTTCTAATAAATCCAAGGGGTATAAAGATAATTAGAGTGAGTTAAGAGCCTTTCTAGGCAGAGTGCTATTGGGACCTATTACCAATTATACAGATTTTATCCCAAACATAACATAATGCTCGTCTTGCTTTCTGAAAAACACATGAAACCTAAATGAAGCAAAGTTTCAAAATTAAATTAGAGGGAGCAAGAAGCCATGTGTTCTAATACAGAGTTAACTGTCAATCTAATCACAGAATAGAGGCTCACTTAAATCTATTTCTAAAATGAAAAGTGTATATAATTAGTTATTAGCTGAAGTTCCACCACAAAAACATTTATTCATGTATATGAAGACCACCTTTTTGATGTCAAGAATGTTAGTTAAGTTTGGAAGTACCACGATAAAACACAAATGCCTCCCCTCCCAGACTGAGCTAGCAGAAAGCAGGCACAATGCAACATAAAATTATGTTTTAACAACCCAAGTGCTTAAAACAAAGGCATTCAAATGCTTTGTGAATTCTGAAAAATAACTAAACTTGCCTGGGTTTAAAACAGTGATATTTGAGCTGGATCTTGATGAAGAGATAACCATTCCAAATAGTGAAATTTATTCGAAGTCAGGAGTCTTGTGAAAGGGTACACTCCTATAAAAATTTGGCTTGTAGTTTGGTATACCAGAGACATGATAGAGTAAAGGTGAGCAATTAGTAGATGTGGTCAGAAAGGTTAACCAGGGCTGGATCTTTTGAGAGCCTTGAATATTATGGCAAAGACTATACCAAAGGCAACAGGAAACAACTTATGGAATGCATTTTAAGCAGGAGTAAGACAAATCAAATTTGTTTTCTGTACTGGCAGTGATGAAAAGAAGTGATTTTTAAAAATTCATAGCTTAAAAGCACCCATGCATACGTGTGACAAACACCATTTTCACATTTCCTTCAGATTTGAACGAATGTTGCGGCTATAACAGAAGCTCTTTCATGTACTCCCCATACTCCCTTCCTTTCCCACAGGGTAAAAAAGGTATCCCAAACTTAGTTTCTGCTATTTATACTCCACATTTTTATACATACTAGATATGGATCTCTTAAACACTGTATTGCTTTGAAGGTTTTCAAATTCTAATGATATAAAACTATACTTTTCAGAACACTGGTTCGTAACACTACTTGTGATAAGGATTTGAGAATCCGACCAATTATTGACCTCTATCCTCCAAAATACATACATGCCCACACAAAATTATACTTAATTTGTGGGATATCCCAGACCACCCTGATCCCTATATTGTAGCAATTCCTACTGTAAGAGACAGAAGAGTAGGTAACTTTATTAGGAAGTTATAGTGATAATCTAGGTGAAAGAATATGAAGTTGGTCGCTGGGGATAAAAAAAATATCTTAGATATTGAGCATTTTTT